TCTGGTTTTCTGGTGGTTTATAAGAATCTCAGACTTTCCTGCTGGGGCTGGCTTTGAACTACAATCTTCAGATCTCAGCCTCCTGAGTAGCTTGGATTATGGGTGTTAGCCACTAGTGCCCTGCTCTATTTTTTTTTTTTTTTAATTATAAAGATACTATACAGAGGGTTACAGTTACATGAGTGAGGTAATGAGTACACTTCCTCTTGAACATTGTTACCCCCTCTATTGTTTTCCCCCTACCATCCCCTCCCTCCCTCCCTTCCCCGAGGTTCTTTTTTTTTTTTTTTTTTTGATTGTGATTAAGTGATTACATAATTTCAAAGTCACAAGTTCATTCTAACTTCCCTGGAGCAAATTGTCTACCACAGTCTGTAATATATAACAGTGTTCACATGTTATATACCATATTTGTGATCAGCAGCATGGGGATATTTAGTAGTGGTTCAACCAGATGAGCGGGAGTTCTTTGTTTCTTAAGTCCTGTTAGTTTTGTCGTATCACCTAACATTTTGGATTTAGCATCCACTTATCAGGGAGACCATGTACTGTTTGTCTCTTCGTTCTTGGCTTACCTCGCTCAACATGATTCCTTCTAGCTCCATCCATTTCCCTGCAAATGCCATTATTTTGTCATTTCTAATGGCTGCATAATATTCCATTGTGTATAGATACCACAATTTTTGGATCCATTCATCTGTGGTGGGGCATCTAGGTTGTTTCCATATCCTAGCTATTGCGAACAGTGCTGCAATAAACATGGAGGTGCACGTGTCCTTGTATATTGGTTCCTGTTGTTCAGGGTAGATGCCTAGAAGTGGTATGACTGGGTCGTAAGGGAGGTCAATCTTTAGCTTTCTAAGGACCCTCCAGACTGCTTTCCAAAGTGGTTGTATAAGTGTACATTCCCACCAGCAGTGTAATAGGGTTCCTCTTTCTCCACATCCCCTCCAGCATTTGTCGTTGGCTGATTTGTGGGTGTGGGACATTCTGACTGGGGTAAGGTGGTATCTCAGGGTTGTCTTTATTTGCATTTCCTTCACCACCAGGGATGATGAACATTTCCTCATGTGTTTCTTTGCCATTTTTATTTCTTCATTTGAGAAGTCCCTCTTTAGTTCCCTTGCCCATTTAGTAATTGGTTTGTTAGGTTTGGGAGGGATTAGTTTCTTGAGTTCCCTGTATATACAGGATGTTAACCCCTTGTCTGCTATATTGCTGGTAAATATTTTTTCCCAATTAGTTGGTTGTCTTTCTAGCTTAGTTGCGATAGATTTAGCTGTGCAGAAGCTTTTTATTTTAAGGTAGTCCCATTTGTCGAGCTTTCTGTCTATTTTTAAAGTGTCTATAATATGCCTTGCTTTCTGAGTCTGTTGTTTGGGTCAATGAACTTCACCTGTGGGTTAATAGTTTTTTGTTGTTTTTGTTTTGTTGGTTGTGGGACTTGGTCTCAGGGCCTACATGCTGTCCCTGAGATTTTTGTTCAAGGCTAGTGTTGTACTGCTTTGAGCTACAATTCCACTTCTAGTTTTCTGGTGGTTAATTGGAGAAAAGAGTTTCACAGACTTTTCTGATTAGGCTGGTTTTGAACCTTGATCCTCAGATCTCAGCCTCCTGAATAACTAGGATTACAGGTGTGAGCTACCAGCTCCTACTTTCAGATAGTTTTTTTTTCCTTCTCTTCACTCTCTTCTTCTTCCTTTCTCTTCTCCAAACTCCCTCATTCTTCTTTTCCTTTCTACCTCTCCTATAGCCTAAAGTGTAGGTCTAAATTGGCTCCACTATCTGGGGGTATTTTTGTAAAGATGGATTCCTTGTGTATTAAGAATCCTTTGAGGGCTGGGAAGGTGGCTTAGTTGTAGAGTTGCCTAGCATGCATGAAGCCCTAGGTTCAATTTCTCAGTACCACATAAACAGAAAAAGCCAGAAGTGGCACTGTGGCTCAAGTGGTAGAGCGCTAGCCTTGAGCAAAAGAAGCTTAGGGACAGAATCCAGGACTGGCAAAATTAAAAAAGAAAAAAACTTTTATTCTGGATGATAAGAATACAGATTGTGCTGAGGAATTCTCTAACTGGCTTCTGATGTAGGTAGTTTCTTCACTATATATATATATATAAATATATATATAAATATATATATAAATATATATAAATATATATAAATATATATATATATATATATATATATATATAAATTTTTTTTTTTGGTCCGGTTGTGGGGCCTGAACTCTGGGCTTGGGCGCTGTCCCTCACTTTTCAACTCAAGGCAAGTGCTCTACCACTTGAGCCACAGTGCCACTTCTGGCTTTTTTCTTTTTGCTTATGTGGTACTAAGGAATCGAACCCAGGGCCTCATGCATGAAAGGCAAGCGCTCTACCACTAAGCCACCTTCCCAGCCCCTCCACTAAATTTATATATTAATACACAGCCAAATACTAGAGGATCTCTGGAAAGTCCCCAGAGTTGCTCCTGTTCATCTATCTTCTGAGAATTCTGCCATGTTGGCAATGTCTGCTTAGCTGAGTGAGACTAGTCAGTTACAGCTTCTTTGTACCTTCCTGTAGTCTGGATATTCCCTTCAAATTGTTACCTGGTGTAGTTGCAAACCTACCTTTTTTTTTTGGTCTGTCATGGGTCTTGAACTCAAGGCTAGCCTCTACCACTTTGAGCCACAGCTCCATTTCCTGTTTTCTGGTGGTTAATTGGACATGAGTCTCACAACTGTCCTGTCAAGGCTGGCTTTGAACTGCAGTCCTCAGATCTCAGTCTCCTTGGTATCTAGGATTACAGGCATGAGTCACCAGTCTCCAGATGCTGTCCCATTCTTTTCCCCGTCTTATGCTTCTCATTGTCCAGACTCTGGAAACTTATTTCATGCATTTTGTTTACTTTCCTAGATTTTTTTTCTTAAATAAGAGAAAGCTTATTCGAAGGTAAAAGAAAAGCAATGAAAGAAAGTAACTAAAACTCGATCTGGAGAGGAGATTCAAGAGGAGTTTTTAAGGCAGTAGGGCCATCATCATGGCTGGAAACAGAGATACACATTTATTATTATTTTTAGTGTGGTAGAGAGTCCTGTAAAGCTTTCTCTCAAGTAAGAGACATTTACATATTGAGTTGCAGTGTAGGCCACATCAGAGTGAGTTCAGCAACAGAGCCAGCAACCAAGAAGGGTAAGGGGTTTGGGGAAAAGAGGACAGTGTTGGTGTTCTACATAGAGTAGTGAAGCCTAGTCAACTGATGGGAGCAAGAGATTCTTACTAGCCCCATAGGTTTGACAGACTGGGTGCTGGTTAGAATGTTTATAGAGCAGTCGAATGTGCCAGTTAGTATGTAAGTGTGTGTAGGAGATATTATTTGAGTCTAGGTGCAGGATGGCATTAGCACAAGATAAATACTGAAGGATCTCTTAAAGATGTAAAGTTCTTGGGGCTGGGAAGTTGGCTCAGTGGTAGAGTGCTTGCCTCACATACATGAGGCCCTGGGTTCGATTCCTCAGCACCACATAAGCAAAAAGAAAAAAGCCGGAAGTGGCGCTGTGGCTCAAGTGGTAGGGTGCTATCCTTGAGATTGAAAGCTGAGGGACAGCGCCCAGGCCCAGAGTTTAGCCCCCAGGACTGACAAAAAAAAAAATGTAAAGTTCTTAAAACAATGCCTTTGAGCCAGGAACCTGTGGCTCATTCCTATAATCCTATTTCTCCGGGAGGCTGAGATCTCAGGATTTTGGTTCAGAGCCAGCCAAGCAGAAAAATTCAAGGTCTCATGTTATCGCCAAACGGCAGAAAATCAGGACTGGAGGCATGGCTCAAGTGGTAGAGTACCAGCCACAAACAAAAAATATGAGTGTGCTCAAGGCCTAGAGTTTAAGCTCCCATACTCACATAAAACAAAGAAACCTGATATATAATAAGTACTTAATAAGATCTCACTATATAGAGATGATTTATTATATATTATCTGATGAGCTCTTATTAGCTATTAGGGTTAATTTCTTCTCTTAGGGACTTGTTTATTTACTTTTTTTTTTTTGTAGTATTGGGAATTAAACCTAGGCCTTCCTGCATGCTAGGCAAGTGGTGTACCACTAGTTATACCCCAACCCTGTCACAGTTATTTTTTATCATCATTTCTGGAATATCTGGAAGAATAGAAAAGAACACAAGTCTGTTTCCTGCCCTTCTAACCCAGATGCTGTTTGTTGTAAACTGAAGCTTTCCTGAAGTATGCAGATAACTTGCCATAAATTCAACCACCACAGTGGTAGAAAATACATCATTGGTTGTCAGGGGTGTGGAGTGAGTGGAAGATGTGATCAGTTTGGAGAGAATGAGGGAAATTTATGGGAGAGAAAACTTCAATAGGGCTTATTCAAAGCTATAGATGTATTAAAATCCATAGAACTATAATACTAAGTACAGTCATATTTTCTGTATTGTAATTTAAAATATAAAAGTAAAATAACACCTTAAAAATAAAAGTGCAAAAGTGCAAAGCTGGGCACCAGCGGCTTACACCTGTAATCCTAGCTGCTCAGGAGGCTGAGATCTGAGGATCTTGATTCAAAGCCAGCTCGGGCAGGAAACTCTGTGAGACTCTTATCTCCAATAAACCACCAGAAAACCGGAAGTGGTGCTGTGGCTCAAGCAGTAGAGCACTGGCCTTGAGCTGAAGAGCTGAGGGATAGAGCCCAGTCCCAGAGTTCAAGCCCCACGACTGACAAAAAATAAATAAAAGTGCACTGAAGGGGTGAAAGTGTCCAAAAAGAAATGTATTCATTACCTGATTTATGAAACTAACCACTCTGTACATCACCTTTATAATAACAATAAAACTAAGTAAATAAAGAGCACTATGGAGAGTATCCTAGGGGTAGGTGTCTAAGCTGGCCTAGCCCTGGTGCTGACTGACTGGCATTTCCGTTGGCATAGTAAGTATACCCAGGCTTTGCCTACACTTTCTGACCCATCATCACTTACTGGCTTTTTCCTTCCTCATGTTAGATTGGAGCTGGAGGGAGCATCACAGGGCTGAAGTTTAACCTTCTCAATACCAACCAGTTCTTTGCCTCTTCAATAGAGGGAACAACTAAGCTTCAAGACTTTGAAGGCAACACTCTACGAGTTTTTACCTGCTCAGACACCTGCAAGTGAGTAATTTAACTAGAAAGCTCTAGTTCTGGTAAGAGTATCCGGATCCCATTTCTTCTAGCCAGACATGGCACAGGGAAGAATGGAAATGTATTAGCTACTTTCCACCCCTTCTTCTCTTCCTCAAACTCTTTGGTGCTCTGATTTTGGTCCAGGTGGATAATTGCTTTGGGAAGCCTTGGCCCTTCTCAGGAAAAGGCCTCAGTCTCTTCCTTAAGGTGTACCTATATTAAACTAGGCTTTGACTCTCACAAGCCAAGCCAATAGGGTAGTAGTTCAGAAAGCCTCACAGAGAGTGAAGCAGGAGCTAAGAATTGAGGTTTCAATGCTGTTCATTTATTGGGCTGTAAATACTTGACTAATTTTTCAGTTGAAGCTTAAAATAAGAGAACCCTCTCCTAAGAGAAAGTGACTGGAGAAATTAAAAAATGCAAATCACTTTAATATCTAGCCAGAGACACAACTTCCAAGAAATGAATGTGAGTATGACGTCTAACTAGCATTGGGTATTATCTTAAGCTATCCCATGGGGGTGAGAAACACAGGAGCCATCAAGATTGGTGACTGGGCTTCAGGTTCCTCTTCCCCAGCAGCCTCCTCTTCGTATTCAGGAAAGATAGCAAAAGGCAGTGCAGCAAGATGTTGAGGGCTTCAGAGAAACAGTGTGACTCAGAACACTTCTGGCTGTGGATCTGCATCTATGAGGCAGGTCCTACTGAATCTCCTTGTCCTCAAGTAGTTTTCTAATGGAAAGAGCATCTGGGTTCTGTTTGCTTTTCCCTTAGTGTGCAGAAGGGGGCAGACATTTCTCTCTAGCTAGCTGTAAGCCACAGAGCTGAACATTTCCTGTTTGGTCTGTCATCTTTGGTTCAAAGGGTGAAGAGTGACTGGTGAGAGAACAGTATACAAGTTTGCCTTAGAACCTGCGCTGTATGGGACAAGCTAGCTTTGGGACTTGCCCTGTGATTCTGAGGTTTAGCTGCTCTTACTAGCTGAGGATGCTGGCGGAGCGGTAACTGGATACATGGTAAACAAATCTGGGTGTTTCACAGCAATCCATAGCAAAAAAGTTATTCATTGAACAATATTTATTGAATGCCTACTGAGGGTTAGATTGGAGCTGCAATTGTGAATAAATGGATCCAGCTCAGTCCTGAGAGTCTTACAGCATAGTCTCTCTCTTTCTCTAGCATCTGGTTTTGCAGCCTGGATGTGTCTACCAAAAGCCGAATAGTAGTCACAGGAGACAATATGGGAAATGTGATCCTGCTGAACATAGATGGCAAGGAGGTATATACGGAGGTCCAGGTTATCCCTTTTCCCTCCCTTGGTTCTGTGTCCCCACCTGAACCAGCCTCTTTCCCACAGCTTTGGAATCTCAGAATGCACAAAAAGAAAGTGACCCATGTGGCTCTGAATCCCTGTTGTGATTGGTTACTGGCTACAGCCTCCGTAGATCAAACAGTGAAAATCTGGGACCTGCGCCAGGTTAAAGGGAAAAACAGCTTCCTCTACTCCCTGCTGCACAAACATCCTATCAACTCAGGTGTGACATCTTAAACCTCATCTTTCCTGCAGATCCTTCTTGTTTATCACTCCTGCAGTTTTTCCTGTAACTTCGAAAGCTATTAGGTCAAACATTTATCTCCCAAGAGCATCTTGTCAAGCTGATGACTAGGAACCTTTCTGGCTTTGGTTGCTCCTTTCCCTGGTGAATTTTTAGAATATTTCCAGATTCTTTCCTCCTGTCCACTTCTGACTAGAGAGGAATAGAAGGGTGGTGTTCCTACTAGGAAAGGCCTCTAAAGTCCAGAAGAGCAGGGGTTTGGGGGATCTTTTAGCTTAAGGGGCTTTTCACTTTTTCAGCTTATTTCAGCTCTGATGGATCCCGCCTCCTGACAACTGACCAGAAGAATGAGGTCCGGGTTTACTCTGCCTCTCAGTGGGACTGCCCAGTTAGCCTGATCCCTCACCCTCACCGTCACTTCCAGCACCTCACACCCATCAAGGTGAGTGAGGGAAGAGAGATGTTATCATGGGGACCAACCAGCACTGACCAAGGAGCATCGAGGGGCAGACATGGTCAGCCTGCAGTCAGTCCCAAACACAAAGCAGCAGTCCGTTAACCCTTTGGCTTTCTCTGTCCTATCATCCTATTTCTTCAGTTCCATTTTGTTCAGCTTTCTCATTTTTTTCTTTTCCTGTTTTTGGTACTGGTACTAAGGCTTGAACTCCAGGTTTCATGTGCTTGCTCAGCTTTTTTCATTCACGGCTGGTACTCTACCACTTGAGTCATGTCTCTAGTTCTAGTTTTTTTTTGCTGGTTAATTGGAGATAATATGAGTCTCATGGATTTGTCTTCCCAGGCTGGCATCAAACCAGGATTCCTTAGAGCTAAACCTCCTGAGTAGGTAGGATTATAGCTGTGGGTGTCCAGCTTCCTGAGTTTTCTTAATGTCTCTCTGATAAACTCTTTTTCTTGTCTCACTGTAGGCTTTTTTTTTAGGGGGGGGGAGGCTCTCTGTTCTACACTCTGTTTCAGTTTCCTATGTGCAGCTGATTCACAAATTAACCTTCACCTTCTAAGTTTGTCTTGCAGGTTTAGGTGGCTTCTGATAATAGAAATAAGTCCCTTACTTTCCCAATTTGGATCTCCATTTCAACTTAAAAAGGGAATAATAGTATCTAACTAATAGGGTTGTTGTGAGGATGAATCAGTACACTTAAAGCACTTGGCACTATACCTAGCACATGGTGAGTACTTAGTAAAAGATGACTTAGTATCCCATGTATCTCAAATCAAACCCAGTAGGGATGGGAAGGTGGCTCAGTGGTAGAGTGCTTGTCTTGCATGCATGAGGCCCTGGGCCCTCAGTACCACATAAGCAGAAAAAGCCAGAAGTGGCACTGTGGCTCAAGTGGTAGAGTGCTAGCCTTGAGCTGAAGAGCTGAGGGACAGCACCCAGACCCAGAGTTCAGGCCCCACGACCGAAAAAAAAAAAAAAAAAAATCAAACCCAATAATAAATAGCATCAAAATTCACCAGTCGCTATTCTTGTTAATCCATCTGTTCATATCTGCCTCATTGTAGCTCATCCAGATCAACTTCCACTTGTTTTTTTAGTGACTTTTTTTTTTTTTTGGTTGGTCATGGAGCTTGACCTCTCAACCTGGGTGCTGTCCCTGAGCTCTTCAGCTCAAGGCTAGCGCTCTACCACTTGAGCCACAGTGTCTACTTCCAGCTTTTTCTGTATACGTGGTGCTAAGGAATCAAACCCAGGGCCTCACTTCTAAACCACTTCATATACCATTTCTTCTTCCTTTTTTTAAAAAAATTGTGTATGTTTATGTGTATATGTGTGTGTGTATGTGCCAGTACTGGGGCTTAAACTCAGGGCCTTGCATTCTTGCCTGGCCTTTTTACTCAAAGATTGCACTCTACCATTTGAGCCATAGCTCTACTTACAGCTTTTTGATAGTTGATTGGTGGTAAGAGTCTCATGGACTTTCTTACCTGGGTTGGCTTTGAACAGTGATCCTCAAATCTTAGCCTCATGAGGAGCTAGGATTACAGGTGTGAGCCACCAGTACCCAACTTTCTTTCTTCTTATTGCTGGTTTTTTTTTCCTTTAAAATTCCTTTGAAGCCCAGTTGTAGTGGTACACATCTGTAATCCCAGCACTCAAGAAGCTGGGTCAGGAGAATCTTGCTGTAGAAAACAAATTATTGTCTCAAAGAAAGAAAAAATCAACTCAGCCTTGTGCTTGCTAGGGAAGCACTGTACTGCTTAAGCTATGTCTTTTTTCTTTTTTTTCTTTTTTGGTGCTGGTCCTGGAGCTTAAACTCAGGGCCTACTTACTGTCCCTGAGCTTCTTTTGCTCAAGGCTATCACTCTATCACTTGAGCCTCAGCTCCACTTCTGATGTTTTTTGAGTAGTTTATTGGAATGACAGTCTCACAGACTTTTCCTGCCTGGGCTGGCTTTGAACCAAAATCCTCAGATCTCAGCCTCTTGAGAGCCACTGGTGTCTAGCCATCCTCTACTTTTTAAGGCTTCAAAAAGAAAAAGGGAACTTGTTGGCTGGACCTTTGAAAGAGCTTTACTACTCAACCTCGACCTAAAGGTCTATTAGCTTTACTTCCTTTATTCCAAAGTATTTAAAGCTATCTTTTCCTGAGTAGTTCATATTTCTGCAGTACCTGTAAGTACCTGTTTGTGGAATAATCAATATCCCTCCCAAAATTCTTTGTATTAAAGCCCTAATTCCCAATATGATTTTGGCATAAGATACTGGAAAGCTATTAGATTTAGATGTGGTCACAAGGGTGTGGCCCTTAGAAAATTAGTAGCTTCCTTATGAGGAGATAGAAATGTGTGTTTGTGTGTGCACTGTTTCTGGGGCTTAAACTCAAGGTTTGGGTGCTGTTCCTGAGATTTCTGCTCAAGGCTAGCACTCTCCCACTTGATCCACAGCTCCACTTCTGTCTTTTTGGTGAATAATTGGAGATAGTCTCATGGACTTTCCTGCCTGGGCTGGTTTTGAACCATGATCCTCAGATCTCAGTCTCCTAGTAGCTAGGTTTATAGGCATAAGCTACCAGCATCTGGCTTTTTTTTTTTTTTCTTTCTTGTATTGTTGTTCGTTGTTGGTTTTTTTAAAACCTAGGACCTCATGCTTGTTTGGAAGGTATTCTACCACTTGAGCCACACCTCCAGCTGCTTTTACTTTAGTTATTTTTCAGATAGGATCTCTTTATTACCTTGGTCAGCCTAAACCATGATCCATAGCTGGGATTATAGGCATAAGTCACCACTCTCAGCTTATATAGGTTTTATCTTCAAATTTAAGTTGTTAGCATTTTAGTAGCAAAAAAACTTTTTTTTTTTTTGTCGGTCATGGGGCTTGAATTCTGGACTTGGGCGCTGTCCCTCAGCTCTTCAGCTCAAGGCTAGTGCTCTACCACTAGAGCCACAGTGCCTCTTCCGGCATTTTCTGCTTATGTGGTGCTGAAGAATCTAACCCCAAGGCCTCATGCATGCAAGCACTCTACCACTGAGCCACCTTTCCAGCCTACAAAGAATACTTTTTATGTCCCTGTTTACTTGTGATCAACTTCATCTCCTAGGCAACCTGGCATCCTCGATATAACCTCATTGTTGTAGGCCGATACCCAGATCCTAATTTCAAAAGTTGTGCCCCATATGAACTGAGGACAATCGATATATTTGATGGAAACTCAGGGAAGATGATGTGTCAGCTCTATGACCCACAGTCTTCTGGTATCATTTCGGTGAGGTTTGGGCCCTCAAATAGTGGTGGGAGGAAGCAGGGATTCAACCTACTTTACCAAAAATTGGTCCTATATGCCCTCTGTCTTTGCCAATACCTTCCCCATCTTCTCATGCCAATATTCTTATTTCTCCAGCTCAATGAGTTCAACCCCTTGGGGGACACACTAGCCTCTGCCATGGGTGAGTAGAAGCAGGTATATCTCAGAAATGTCCAGCCTGGCCCAGTTTCATGCAGGGTGAGTTCAACCTGGTCCTGCCACATACACCCTAGGGCCAATAAAAATGCCTGGGGGATGTAGTTATTTCTAGCCTTGACCCTTAATTGTGGTCATAACAATGCCTGGCTGCTCTCTAGTCTTCTAGCATTTCCTTATTAAAACTTAGCTCCCTTAGGCCAGCCCCAAGCCCTGACACTGATAATGGAAGGTATATCAGACTGCTCTTGCTCTTCTTAGGTTACCACATTCTCATCTGGAATCAGAAGGAAGTGGGGCCATGGAAAGAAAGAGAGAGACACTGAAGAAAGTTGAGCCATAACTTGGAGTACAAAATGGAAACAAGTTCTTCAGAAGAGGCAGCTGTTAATGGGCCAAAAGTGCCACTGTCTTGGGGTTGGAGCAGGGACACTGGCTTATCAATGTCCTTAGCTCTGGAAACTTCAGGCAACCCAGCTTCTCTAAAGATCCCTGCTATCTAGCCTGGAGCCAAAGTAGTTTTCTCCTGTTCAATTTTTCCTTGTGTTGCTGGGGATGGAACTCAGGACCTTGTGCCCTGCTGAGCTATATTCCCAGCTACCTTTTTCCCCTTCTGATGTGTGGTGACAGAATGATGAGGGAGTGTTTTTTTTATTTGTGATTACTATAGACACAGTCAATAAAAACATATTTAACTGAGTTTGTGAGCAGATCTATCACTGACCTAGTCAAAGGGGCTCCTTGGGTCTCAGAAATGAAAAGGCACAGTACCAGCACTCACAATCCAAAACTTCATTCTTGGAGCTGCCTCAGCCCTATTTTGGGCCACAGTTGAGAGTTGTCCAGTTCTCCATCTCCCTTTACCCTCAGGTCCCTGAAGAGTCCAGCCCAGCTGAGAAAGAATATCTCAAGATTCTACATGATTCACTCCCCTTCCCCCCCAACTCCCTCCCCAATGCAACACAAACATCCTTCCAACTTGCCCACACCACCTGCAAGGGAGGACAATAGTGCCTGAGCAGCAATAGTGCCAACACTAATGGTGGTTTCAGCCAAATAATGGGAAACTTGGCCGGCTGGTTGTTGGGCGATCTGGGCCTTTGGTAGCCAATATTGTACCCCCCGTGGTATGCAGTCTATCCTTCCAAGTAAACGTTGAGTGGCAAGACAGAGTCCTTGGAGTCCTTTGTCAAAGACTCCGGGCTGGAAGAGACAGAGCAGGGATTGGTGGAAGAGCAAGGCAGATTAAGTACTGGCTCCTTCAGTTTTTTTTTTTTTTTATCCCAGGTTTCTGAGTGAAACCTGAACACTTGTCCATATCTCAGGTCCTTAGGGAGTATGGAAGATGCAATCCTGTTTAGAGAAAGCCAATGTCCGACACAGTACTTGATAAACATCAGGCATGTCAATGCTGAATGACAGGTGCCATGGGCCAAACCAAGCCCCACTCATCTGGGCTGGGGTAGTCAGGGAGGCTCAACCCAGGTTCTGTCCATGGGCTAGGGAGCAGCAACAGTCAGGAGGAAGGGCCCAGCCCACCTCCCCTAGGAGGCAGAGGGAAGGGGGCTGAGTGGTTGTCAGGCATGATCTTCCCTGTCTGCGACGTGGTGGTAGCCAGGAGGCTGGGCCTGCATCCGGAAGAGGACAGTGAGGAGCAGCACTATGAGAAGGAAGAGGATGGAGCCACAGACAGCCAAGGCCACGATCACCTCTGGGCAGGGGGAGGGGAAGAGAAAGGTAATGTTAGCATTCACTCAACAAATACTGAACACCTACTATGTGCCAGATACTTTTCTGACATTCAGAAGATATATAAAGGTGGTCAAAAGTCTGTCCACATCAAGTTTACATTCTAGGAGAAGAGATTTAATAAATGACAGGAAGGACAGATTAGTGATGAATACCATGAGAAGCAAGGTAGGTGACTCAGGGAGGCATCCTTGAAGAGGTGAGAACAGAGTCTGGAGTCAATGAGTGACACACAGTGTCCTGCAATGGGGAGGTCAGGAAGCAAGCACAATAGGCTCTGACAGGAATAAACATGTTCCGGGATGAGCAAGAAAGTGTCACTGAATTAAAGTAAGCTAGAGGGAAGTAGGAAATGGGCAGAAGACTAGGACAAGTAGGACCTAGGAAGTCATGGTAGAAAAACATTTCATTCTCTATGTGATGGGAAATGTCTAATGGTAGTGATAGGAGCCAATCTGTTTTGTTGTTTTTTAAAGAAATCAACTGCTATATTGAGACTTGTAGGGGAGAAGAATAGAACCAGAAAGGTAATTAAGAGGCTTTTCAGCAGTTCAGCCAAGAGAGGGGTGTTAACTAGAGAGGCAAGTGCATGGTACCTGAAAGGTTGAGCTGAGAGGATCTGCCAGTGATCTGAGAGGGTATGAGCAGCACAATGCCTGGGGCTGTACTATGTGACTAGGTGACTAATGTGGTATATACTAAAATGGGGAAGTCTGGAAGATGAGCAAGCGGATGTGGCGGGAAAGAGCATTTGGTTTTAAATGTATCAATTTAAGATGTCTCATTGGACATCCATGTAGAGGCCTTAAGTCAGCACTGAGTATGAGTCTTGCTCAGAGAAGAGGTCAGCAGTCTGTGCAGGAGGAAGCCAGTATGGAAGCTGTTGGTAAGTTAACAGAATAACCAGGAGAAGCCAAGAAAGTAGATTTTGTTGTTGTAAAAATGATCTCAGGGCAGAAGGGGGAGCTGTTCAGGTAAATGCAGTAAGATGGCTGGAAGTGTGACAGCGCCCTCAAAATTAGGGGATGTGAATTTGGCATTGATCTGGGACATGACCAGCATGTAGTCAGGTGGCAGCTCACCTGTGTCTGCAGAATCGTTTGCCAGCTGGCACTCCTGCTGCCAATCCTTGGGTATAACAGGCTCTGTGAGGCGAAGAAAGTCCTTCAGTGGGCAGTGGTGAGGGCACCCAGGTAGGATCAATGGCCAGGGGGCCTGCTTGCTTTCATTCCGAAAGTACATCTCCACAGAGAAATTCCTGGGAGTTGATAAGAGGCAAGATGGAACTGCTCACCAGGCTCATAACTGAGTCCCTAGACTGCCTTTAGCCACACCCAAGAACCCCTCCATATGACACACTGGGAGCTTACCCATCATCTTCCTGGTACAGTTCAAATATGTGGCAGGAAGCATAGGGGGCTTGTTTACCATTGTAGACATCCAGTGCCATTTGCAGAGCAACTAGGGTAGTGTCGTGCTGCAAGGGAGAGGCACTGCCTATCAGCGTTGCTCACTCACCCCCGACCCCCAGGAACTGAATAGAGAAACCCAGCTCCTGCCTTGAGGCCAGAGTGCTGAGGAATTTAGGAGCTTACCGCAGAATAAGCCAGCAGTTTAGGGAGTTGGGAGGTGGTGGCCATTAGGGTCAGATTTTTCCGTATCTGAGCCAGCAAGACTCCTGAAGAAGGAAAGTCCCAGTGTTTGGGTATAGCCATCACTGTCTTCAGTGATGCTGTATGATCTGCTGCTCTCACTACTGGCTAGTCTTGGGTGTGATTATAAACCCAGAGAACTCTTCTGATTCATGGGGACTACTGGAACTCTACTTCCTGCTCTCAAGTCAGATGTACAGAGGGAAGATAAAGCAAGGTTTTACTGTGTGTGTGTGTATGTGTGTATATATATATATCTATATATATATATCTATATATATATATAGTATATATATATAGCTATATAGTTATACATATATAGCTATATAGTTATAGTTCTACATATAGCTATATATATAGTTATATATATGTCATATAGTTATATATAGTTATATAGGTCGGTTATGGGGCTTGAACTCTGGGCTTAGGCGCTGTCCCTGTGCTCTTCAGCTCAAGGCTCAGGCACTTTACCGATTGAGCCACAGCACCACTTCTAGTATTCTGGTGGTTAACTGGAGATGAGTTGCGTGGGCTTTCCTGCCTGGGCTGGCTTTGAACTGCAATCCTCAGATCTCAGCCTCCTGAGTAGCTTGGATTACAGGCATGAGCCACCAGTGCCAAGCAAGGTAACTGTATTTAAACAGACAGAAGCCTGCTTATTTATAAATAAGCTGTGAGGTCCCACCCATGTTTGATTACCCAATCATGAAACAAAACGTAAACTTTAACCTACTTCATTACACACAAGATTCCATGCCAGGGTAACTGCCACATACAGGCTCTGAAAATTACTGAGATGTTAAAGGTATGAGAGACGGTATACTCTTGAGTATTCAAATGAGGAAAGTGGTGCCTGTTTTACCCTTAGCCTTCTCTCCAAAGAACCCAGTAGGTCTCTGGAAGAAGGCTTGAAGTTAGGGGAAGGAGAAGAGGGGGTCTTCCGACATGGGTGAAGTTTAGTAATAACAGAAAAGAATCATGCACACTTGCTTATGAGCGCAGACACACAGGGCACATAAATGTGGGATGTTTTGGGGAGACTAAAGGGAAACAACAAGAGAGCGATCTGGTTTTAAGGGAACACAGACTAGTTCAGGTAGACAAGTGTAGGAGAACACCCACCCTACCCCCTCATAATACATTTTTCAGTGCTGGAGAGTCCTCAGGAGGCGAGTGACATGCCACTCTTGCCACTCACCCCCCTGAAGTCGGGCCTTCTCTGTTTGCTCGTGGATCCCAAAGAGGAAGCGGAAACTGAAGTCCTTTAGCTGGCTCAGACGTTGCATGGTTTGGGGTGAGGCCCAGGGCGGCAGGATCAACCCGTGGGTTTGCTGTGTATTGCAGCAGGTCGGTTAGCTCCCCAGGCCTAGGCCAAAGCCTCTCCAGGGGCAGCTCTCTTCCCCAGAAGGGAAGTGCCTGTGTGTGTGAGGGAAGGAGAGGAGAGCAGAGGTGAGGGAGAGGAGCTGGAAGAGCAGACATGGTAGATGGAAGGGCCCAAGAAAGGAAGCTCAGACACAAAGTGGGAGACTCAGCAGATCAGGGTCTCATACCCTGAGAGCCCTGTGTGGAGAGGAGTACAAACTGCTGACAACTAATAAACCATTTCCCACTCTGATGTTCTTTTAACCCAGGAAGGAAGTCCCCAGATTTCTCAAGCCATGGCTTGCAGAACCTCCCCAGTGGGAATGGCTTATGTTCTCTGTCCTTGTGACCTGGGCCTGTTGAGGGGGAAAAAAAAAAGCAATTCTACTGAGTTCCCCCAGTGGGCTCACCTCACAGAAGAGTGTGTCATAGACATTCCAGATGGTCTCCAGGGTCAGATCTGTAAGCCCCGTCTCATTGGCCACCATGTCCAGAAATTGCTATGAAAATGGATTAGGAGATCAGCCCTAGCCAGTAGAAAGAGCAACCTGATGAACTCCAGCTTCAGCCACTACTCACCATGTTCTGAATACTCTTGTTCTGATACTCTGGTGTCTGCCGAGTCTCATTCTGCAGCTGCTCATAACGGGGACATGGGCCCAATGGGAACTTCAGCAACTGCAAATGAAATAAGGGAAACAAGCACAAAGGAATCTGGGATCAGTCGGTAGACCCCTGGCCAGTTATCCCCTTCAGTATCTCCAGGGAAGAGCCGGCCAGTCTTACCCTGTCCTCAGTGACAGGCACAGTATGGACAGGGATAGGCTGCCATGAGATGTTAGGGTTGAAGCGTTGCATCCCATTGGGAGGGAAGAGTCCAGCCAAGTTGGCCTCAGCACTCATGAGGGTACGATCAAAGTCTGTGCTTCGCACATAAACCTGCAGAGATAGCAATTTGAGTATTACCTGTGTGTGTATACATGCACTTTGGCCCCTTATTGGGGCCCCAGGAAGAACCTGTTCTTGATGATTACCCAGGACACTATAATCCACCATGTATTTTCCCCACCTCTGCCCTTTACCATCCCTCAGGGGCCCAGACACTCATCCGGGGGCTGTCACCACTGTGTAAAGAACTCAGCCTGTGGATGGCTCTAGTTCAAATACCCCTTCTCCTCCTAGTCAAAAGTTCTTAGGAGGAGCCAGACATTGGTGGTTCCCGCCTGTAATCCTAGCTACTCAAGAAGCTAAAATCTGAGGATCATGGTTCTAAACCAGCCTAGGCAGGAAAGTCCATCAGACACTTATCTCTAATTAACCACCAAAAGGCCAGAAGTGGTAACTGTGGCTTAAGTAGTAGAGTGCTAGCCTTGAGTGAAAAAGCTAAGGCACAATGCCCAGGAAAAGAAAAAAAAAAGTTCTTAGTAGGCTATCTAATCCATGGTCCATGGTTTTGTTTTGTTTTGTGTCATCATAGGGCTTGGACTCGGGATCTGGGTACTGATTCTGAGATTTTGTGCTCAAGACTAGCACTCTACCATGTTGAGCCACAGCTCCATGGTAATAAGAGTCTCTAGACTTTCTTACCCAGTTTGGCTTTGAACTGGGATCCTCAGATTTCAGCCTCTTTGATTAGCTAGGATTGCAGGTGTGAGCCACTGGTACCAGGCCATGTGGTTTTATAATAGCAGCTGTCACCAGGTTTGATGCCAGCATAGGCAGGAAAGTCCGTGAGATTCTTACTTCCAATCAATCACAAAAAAGCTGGAAGGGGAGTTACATACATACATATGCACATATACACATATGCACATACACGCGCACACACGCACGCACGCACATGCATACACACAGAGCACCTATCTCCTCATCAAGACCAAGTAGAAAGCACTCCCAACCATATCTGCTCTCCTCTATAAATTGGGTTAGAGGTGGGATGGGAGTTGTGAAAGAGAGGAACAAACTGGGGAAGGGCAAGCTCAGGATGGAGTGGGGCCTCAAGGGAAAAATAACAAGTAGAGACTCCAGAGAGCTGTGGCTGAGAGCAGTAACTACAGGAACAGCTACCTCCATCCCTGGGGGTGAGGAGAGGATCTCAAGTGCTAATCTTCACTGTTCCATTTTATCTAGGCCTATCTAGTCTATCAGCTGACTATCCCTACACCCTAAGCTGCCCTAAGCTCCATGACGACAGAGATCGCACCTGTGTGGTCCACTATTGTTTGTGAAATGCTAGCACTTGGTCCCTACTATGTACTTAATAAATGTTTTGGATATAAAATCTGCTATTTCAGAGTCAGAAACTATTTTTTCCAGGACAAAGCAGTGTAGAGCCTTGATCAGTTTGACCCTTTCCAGCCAAACAGTAGAAACTCAGCCTTCAGGGTTGCATTCTAAGTAGCTCTTTAAGGTCTTCTCCTGTGATTTAAAAAAATTAAAAAAAAAAAAAAAATCTATGCATGCAGGGCTGAGAAGGTGGCTCAGTGGTAGAGTGCTTGCCTGGCATGCAAGAGGCCCTGGTTCAGTTCCTCAGTACCAAGCAGAAAAAGCCAGAAGTGGCACTGAGGCTCAAGTATAGAGCGCTAGCCTTGAGCTGAAGAGCTGAGGGGCAGCGCCCAGGCCCAGAGTTCAGGCCCCACGACCGACAAAAAAAAGGCAGTATGGAGGCCAGAACATCCAGCCTCACCCTTACCCTCCTTGAAGGCAGAGTATTAGGACAGCAGATCCTATTCTTCAGGCCTCTCCAGCTCCTAGCCTTACCTCTTGTCGGTGGTAAGAAGTGTTCAGAAAGCCATTGTAGCGTTGCCGAAGAGCCTGGCCCAGCTCCCAGTGCTGTTGCATCCCTTCCTGTGGGCAAACCCAAAGATTAAATGAATCAAAAGTGCTTCATGCCTATAACCCTAGCTACTCTGGAGGCTGAGATCTGAGGATCACAGTTCAAAGCCATCCTGGGCAAGAAAGTCAGACTTTTTTTTTTTGGTCAGTCGTGGGGCTTGAACTCTGGGCTTGGGCGCTCTCCCTGCACTCTTCAGCTCAAGGCGAGTGCTCTACCACTTGAGCCACAGCGCCACTTCTGGTTTTCTAGTGGTTTATTGGAGATAAGAGTCTCACAGACTTTCCTGCCCAAGCTGGCTTTGAACTATGATCCTCAGATCTCAGCCTCCAGAGTAGCTAGGATTACAGGTGTGAGCCACCGGTGCCCAGCGAAAGTCTGAGACTCTCATCTCCAATTAACCACCAGAAAACCAGAAGTAGTGTAATGGTTTAAAATGGTACATCGCTAGCCTTGAGTAAAAGAGCTCAGGGACAGGTCCCAAGTTCAAGCCCCATGATCACAAATCATCATCATCATCATCATTATCATCATCATCATCATCATCATCTAAAGGTAAGTAAGGATGGCTCACAAGCCTGCAAGGCTTAGGCATTTTTTCTTTTTTGGGTCCGGTAGTGGGGCCTGAACTCTGGGCCTGGGTGCTGTCCCTCAGCTCTTCAGCTCAAGGCTAGCGCTCTACCACTTCAGCCACAGTACCACTTCCGGCTTTTTTCTTTTTGTTTATGTGGTGCTGAGGAATCGAACCCAGGGCCTCATGCATGTAAGGCAAGCACTCTACCACTGAGCCACCTTCCCAGCCCAAGGCTTAGGCATTCTTATTATTTAAGTTCACCCCTTGCTGGAAGAGTGAGTGGGTTAATCTGATCCCAGAAGTTTTGGTCCTAGGCACAAAGTAATGTAAAGTTAAGACATCTGATCATGCCAGGTGCCCATGGCTCATTCCTGTAATCCTAGCTACTCAGGAGGCTGATTCCTGGAATATTAGTGTTTGAAGCTAGCCTGGGCAGAAAATCCTATGAGACTCCATCTCCAATTAACCAGCAAAATACTATAGTGGAGGTGTGGCTCAAGTGGGAGAGCACCAGCCATGAGCATGAAAACTGAGTATAAGACCCTGAGTTCAAGCCCTGATACTGGGGCACACACACATAAAAAGAGGATATCTGAAATAGTGGTGCATGCCTGTAATCCTAGCTGCTCAGGAAGTCTACAGTTTCAGGCCAGCCTAGTCAAAAAGTTCCAGATACTGAAAAGATAGGCATAGTGATGCATTTCTGTCATTCAAGAAGCACATAAGGGGCTGGGAAGGTGGCTCAGTGGTAGAGCGCTTGCCTTGCATGCATGAGGCCCTGGGTTTGATTCCTCAGCACCACATAAGCAGAAAAAGCTGGAAGTGGCGCAGTGGCTCAACTGGTAGAACCATAGCCTTAAGCTGAAGAGCTGAGGGACAGCACCCAGGCTCAGAGTTCAGGCCCCACAACCGACAGAAAAAAAAAAGCACATAAATAGGATTATAGCTTGCTAAAAGCAAGATCCTATTTGAAACAATAAAGCAAAAAGGGTTAGAGGAATGGCTTACGGGTATAGTGTCTGTTTAGCAAGCACATGACCCTAAGTTCAAATTCTAATACTGAAAAAAAAAAAAAAATCTAGCCATTACTGGGATTTAGCTCAGTAACAGACCATGCATGAGGCCCTGTGCTTTTATTCCCAACACTACAAGAAAACAGCACTCATGGAAATGGGCAGTGTAGGGGGCCTGTAGACTGCTCCAGGGGTACTCATTCTACAGCTCATCCTGAGTGTAGGCTACCTTCTGACCTACCTTGGTTAGTTGGCCAAATCCTTGGGGCCATTCCTCTTCTTGATATGGGTCCTTAGGATATGTCTTCACTGGTGAGCGATCTCCATGTCTGTACAGCTGAGGAAATAAAATGGTTAGCTTGCAATTCATAAGGGTCTCTTTGATGGGGTCACACAGCCCACCACTGACCTATATTGGAGAAAGAACCCTCAATCCCTTTTGGAAGCCTCCCATTATCCACTGCAAAAGACTCCACTTCTGAAGGATTCTAACTTGGCCAAGCAATGTAACCAGAGGCTATAAGCAAAGCCAAACGCACAGATTGGGAAGGAAAAAGTGTAGTGAAGGAATGTATTTGGTCGGGACGGGGGAAAGGGGAAGGGAATCACCAAAGTCATCTTTATGGTTCAGACTCTTAACCTTTTAAGTACATCCCCATTCTAGGGCAGGCTCATATCACTTACCCCTAATAAAGAAGTCCCTACTGAGATGCTCTGCCCCCCGCCCTGAATGGCCCAGGCCACCACATCAATTCTGAATCTAGCCCCTCGAACTTCCCCCCAAGCAGACTGTCTCCTCAAATCAGCTCTTCCTCCTCCTCCAGACCCCTACCTCCAGCTCAAGCCCCGTCCCTCCCTCCACCTGCAGGCCTCTGACCCACTAGCTCTGCTGAACTGTTTGGTGACTCTGTCGCCCATTACCAAGGTAACGAAGCGCAGACTCCGGCCCTGGGTGGATGGTATCACCATCAAGTTTACGCCAAGAAGGAGCTTGAAAACAGCCGCTCGGCTCCAAGCAGACTGCCTGCCCGCCATCACTGCTGGGCTCGGTGCAGCCAAGAGCCCGGAACGTATAGAAGGCGCCCGCTGCAGCCGCCCGGACGCAATTGTAAGCACACACACACTCACACCGGAAGTGCGTTTGTGGCCATCTTGCTAAGGAAGACGTGGAGAAATGGTGGCCTTCGTGGAGGGAACGGGCGGAGGACCCTCGCGATTGGGCGATGGTTGAGGAGCATGGGCAGCTAGCGAGACTTGAGAAAGAGGTCCCCAGCTCGGGTCTGCCTCTTCCCGTACCAAGGTGGCGCCGGCACCGGGTGGGGACGGTAGCCAGAGAGCGAGCACTCACTGCCTCCGGCCGGGTACCGGGGTGAGGCCAGTGCCAGGGCAGAACTGGAGCGCAGGGCAGAGAAACACGGGCCTCCGTCTTCTCGCCCCTTGCTTCCGGGTGAAGTTTGAGCCTTGGCTCTGGCTCTCCACTCGGGGGATTGGTCTTGTAGAGGGCGCTAGGCACGCTGTGTCAACAGCCCTTTGGACTCCTGCGTCCTCGAGGCTACTTCCAGCCGAGTCTGCCTCCCTGTGCAGAACCTCGCAGCCTCGCACTTCCCTTTTCCGGTTCTTTCCCTGTCCTCCCATCCACTCCCAAGTTTCATACTCAAGACCTCACTCTTCCTCCCAAAGGAGTTGGTTTGTGCAGGATGTTCCGACCCCCACACCCCAAAGCATTGAATTCCTGAGGGAGGGATTTCAAACCACTAGAATGATGATATTTTGGGGTAGGCACATAACATAGAGTGGGAGTAGGTGAACTTTCCATGGAATTCAGGGGATCCGCTTGGCCTTTAAGCACAGCCAGAACTTTGTGACTTGGGCTTGGGGTGATGCACAGTTGCAGGATGTCAGATCATTGGGAGGTTTTGGCTCAGATCTTCCCACTAGAAGTGAATCCATTTCAGATCCTTAGAAACCAAAATGATCAGAAAAGTTCATATCTTGCCCTAGGATTCCAGGTACTTGTGTGTGTGTGTGTGTGTGTGTGTGTGTGTGTGTGTGTTTCTCCTGATCCAGACTTTGTTCCCAAAGTTGTCATAAAGGAGAGTGAGGAGTGACATGCCTGTAATTCTAGCTGCTTAGGAGGCTGCAGACCTGGAGTATTTCAGTTCAAAGCCATCTGGGGCAGAAAAGTCCCTGAGACTCCATCTCCAATTAACCAGCAAAAAACCAGGCATGACTCAAATGATAGGTCTTGAGTTCAAACACCAGTACTGGTAAAGGAAAATAAAACATAGGTTGAACAGTGAATAGGATTAAAAAGCTGGATAGTCAAATATGTCTTAACTTTCTTAGCTACATGCTCCTTTAAGAATTTCATGAAAGGGCTGGGAAGGTGGCTCAGTGGTAGAGCACTTGCCTTGCATGCCTGAGGCCCTGGGTTCGATTTCTCAGTACCACATAAGCAAAAAGAAAAAAGCCGGAAGTGGCGCTGTGGCTCAGGTGGTAGAGTGCTAGCCTTGAGCTGAAGAGCTGAGGGACAGTGCCCAGGCCCAGAGTTCAGGCCCCACAACCGGACCAAAAAAAAAAAGAGAGGACCACAAAGAATTTCATGAAAATTTAGCCATCTCTCTAGAAGAATGTCCATATGTAATGGAATTTTGCATATAATCACAAGAAGTTTACCAAGATGCCTCATAAGTTTGTAAGTTAGCATCTCTGAATCCCTCTGTAACTTTACAGTTTAGGAAATAAACCCAGAGAGAGGAAATGACTTGCCTAAATGTGAATAGGAGAATGCATGGAAAGTCAAGTTTTCTGAATCCCATTTAGTTTATTATGGGGTATTTCTTGCAGATTTCTCAAGTTATATTGCTAAGTTACATTTGATAATCTCAAAGTAACTTGAAACTTGTAGACAAAGAAACTCCAGGGGCTGGGAGGGTGGCTCAGTGGTAGAGTGCTTGCCTTGCATGCATGAGGCCCTGGGTTCCATTCCTCAGCACCACATAAGCAGAAAAAGCTGCAAGTGGTTCTGTGTCTTAAGTGGTAGAGCTAACCCTTGAGCTGCAGTGCTGAGGGACAACACCCAGGCCAAGAGTTCAGGCTTCACAACTGACGAAAAGAAAAGAAAAGAAAAACTTTTCCAGATGAGTAGAATTGAATGATGACATAGCTAATTGGCAAAATACTGCATATTAGTTGTATTTAATTTTTTTAAAGAAAATTTTGTTTTACTGTTACCCTTACTCCATGAAACTAGCTAGATGACTGCTTTTCAAAATATAAGTTTTTAGGCTACCAAAATTTAGTAAATTTGTTTTCCTTCCAACTTGCTCAAGTATGTCTATATCCTTTTTGTCTGCAAGTATCTTATGTAGAAGGGATTGAAAAAGCAGATGTTATTTCCATTTTTATAGTGAGAAATGAATCCAGGAAGGGTGTAGATGGACTTGGAACAGAGCCTCAATTTCTTGATGACCCAAATTTTGTGTATTTCCTGCCAGACAGATGATGCTGTGTTCTTGGTTCCTAGTCACAGTTCAAGTTAAAAAGATTAAAAAGATGTATATGGGTAGATAAATGAATACATGGCCCTATCCCCATACAAACATCAGAATCTGGAAAGGTAAGAAAAACTGCTTCCTATATTAGCAGAAGCAAACCCAAATGCAGATGAGCTAACCATTTTCCCCATGGTTGTTTTGTTTTGTTTTTGGTGCCAGGGCTTAAACTCAGGGCCTCATGCTCTTGCTTGGCTTTTTGCTCAAGACTGGTATTCTACCACTTGAGCCACACCTTTACTTCTGACTTTTCACTGGTTAATTGGAGACTCATGGACTTTTCTGCCTCGGCTGGCTTCCCTCCCTCCCCCCCCCCCCCCCTTGAATTCTTGGCCTGACCTCTGTCCCTGAGCTCTTCAACTCAAGGCTAGTGCTCTACCACATGAGCCATAGTACTACTTCTGGTTTTCTGCTGGTTAATTGGAGATAAGAGTATCATGGACTTTCCTGTCCAGGCTGGCTTTGAACCTCAATCTTCAGATCTAAGCCTCATGAGTAGCTAAGATTACAGGTATGGGCCATTGGTGCCTGGCCTGAGCTGGCTTCTAACCTCAGTCCTCAGATAGCTTCCTGAGTAGCTAGGATCACAGGTGGTGTGAGCCCAGCTTTTTTGGGGGGGAGGGGGATTGTATTGCTTGAACTCTGGGCCTGGGTTCTGTCCCTGAGCTAACACTCTACCACTTGAGGTACAATACCACTTCTGATTTTCTGGTGGTTAATTGGAAATAAGAGTCTCATGGACATTCCTGCCTGGGCTGGCTTTGAACTGTGATCCTGAGATCTCAGCCTCCTGAGTAGCTAGGATTACAGGCGTGAGCCATCAGTGCTCTGCTTTTTTTTTTTTTTTTTAAACTGGGAGTTTGAACTTAGTCTCAAACTTGGTAGGCTGGCATAATACTGTTGAGCCACACCTCTAGCACTTCAAGTTTTTTTTTTTTCTTTTAAGATACTTTGACCTTTTAAATGAGCTTAATATATATTCAAATTAGGGCTGGGAAGGTGGCTCAGTGGTAGAGTGCTTGCCTTGCATGCCTGAGGCCCTGGGTTCGATTCCTCAGCCGGAAGTGGCGCTGTGGCTCAAGTGGTAGAGTGCTAGCCTTGAGCTGAAGAGCTGAGGGACAGCGCCCAGGCCCAGAGTACAGGCCCCACGACCGGACCCCCCCCTCAAAAAAAAATATATATATATTCAAATTGGGTATTTGTATCTTACCAGTAACTTATTTGTTTGGTTTTTTTTGCCAGTCCTGGCTTCTTTTCTATGTGTTGGGAAATTGGGCAAAAGTCACTTGAGTGAGTGCTTGTGGTCTGTGAGAAAACCCCACAGCTTTCCAGAATGGTGAAGGAGGAATTAAGGAGCAGTTGCCTTGGTCCATCTCTGAAAATTGTACCTAATGGCCTGCTTCATGGAAGGAAGGAATTGGAGGGAGTAATCTGGTAGTATGGGTGGCCAAGGGCTGGCATATGCACCAATTTCTGCTTCCAGAAGAAGCCTCTGGAGGCTTTAAGGGTCAGAAATGTGGCTTGGGAGATTCCCAAGAGTGTTCCCAGGGTGGAGGCCTCTGTAAGAGATTAGGAGACACTCATAGGACTGAGACATTTTGGACCTGACACTTCCTGTGGACTGATGGAATTATGCCATCGGGGTGGGCCTGGCAAAATATGACATGATTCCAGCTGCTGATCACCTGATTGCTTGTCTTGGCTTTGGACAGATTGGCTAGTGGCTGGTTACCAGAAACCAAAGACATTGCCAACAGTTCTTGGTTTTCCCCTCATTTTCTCCCCTTTTTGTGGGAGTCTCCTCAGCCCCTATAACTTGAAGGGGGAGCTATAGCAGTGAAGCATTGGCAAATGCAGTAGCACCTCTGGGAGACTAGACTGAGCTGACTCCCTGACCTGCTCATTCAGCAGGTCTAGCCTGGGCTCTTGCCTGGGTCAGAGGGTTCTAACTGGGGTTTCTGGGTGGTCCTGTGTGGGGAGCCATCTTTGGAGAGACTAGGTTGTCAGGAGATAATAGAGACTTGTTAACTTTCTTAAGATACATTACCAGGCCCCAAATAAGTGTATGTCCCAAGATCCTTAAAAGTAGATGTCTCAGGGACATCTCTGACTGCTGCTGTGCTCAAGCTTGGGTCAAAAAGCATGGGGGATCCATAGGATGTGGGTGCTGGCACTGAGCAATTCCAGTCCCCAGTGGCTGGTGTCCCTGGTTACTTTCCCAGGACAGTGGAACCTTGTGAAAATGAAAGAGGGATAGCGTGGAAGGAATAGAGAGTGACTCAGAAGTGCCCGGACCAGGGTGGGTGGCGTGCTGAGGGAATGGCCTTGTGATGAGAGGGAACAAGAGCAAAAGCTTGGAGGCAGAAGTTTGAGATGGGAGCTTCCAGAGGGGCTTTTCTGAACTGTGAAAATGAATACATGGGCAGATTTTGCAACATCCCCCGCGCCTTCTGTCTCCTCACGTGTGCTCCCAGTCCCTGGCCTGTTCCCCTGTCCTACCCTGAGCTTCCTCCTATCTTTCACCAAACCCCTTGTCTACTTCAGCTTTCTTGTCCTCTCATCCTGTTCCTCTCCCACACCCCATGTCCCCTCTTCCCCTGTTCTCTCTGTTCTCTTCCCTGGTGCCCTGTTCATCTCCATTTTTGGTACCACTGGCTGCTTGCCCTGGCCCCTGTACTAGGCTTTAATGTGGGCCCATGGGAACAGGAGTTCACAGCAAAACAGGAAGAGCCTGTGAGCAGGAAACTGGGAATGGGGCAGGGGGTGAACGACCAGCAGTAACCTCAGCCTCTGCCTTCCACATCTGTTAGACCCTCCCCCTGTATCCCAATGGTCCGCTTCTCTCCTCTTAGTACCTCACTGGTCCATCCGACCTGAGAACAACAAGACAAGAGTTCCTGGACTCTGATGCTGGAGAAAAAGAGTACAGGCACTGACTGGATTGGGGACATCTGGATTTTGATCCCAGCTTGGCCACTGACTGACTGTGTGTGGTCTCGGGCAAGGCCCTCACAGGAGCTTCAGAGTGCAGTGTAAACTGAAGATATTTACTCTCCCTTCTTGGAGGTGCTCTACAGAGAGTAAGGGGTTTCCATACGGAAATGAAGATTTGGAGCGTGTTAAACATTACACATTCCTAGTCCCAAAGGTGTTGGAAGGGTAATGATAATGGCTGCCAGTTTTTGAATACCTACTGTGTGCCCCAGGGTGCTATGATGTATATAATTCTCACAATGACCTTACATGGTAAGGCCAACACACAGGAAGCAACACACAGTTGGGCTGGGAGTATAAATCAGTGGTAGAGCACTTGCCTAGAGAGACATACCCGGGGTTGGATCCAACATTGTATGAGGGTGAAAAATATCTCTATATTAGATTATTTGGAATTTTACAGAGAACCACACAGACATCCAGGTACAGAGAACAAAGAAAGGTTTATTGCTGGGAAAGGGGCCAGCAAGACCCCTTGTCACAAGGGAGAAGTGAGAAGAAGCACCAGCTATTGTCTGGGGTGACCTATATAAGCTGGGAGGTTTAGGAGGGACCAGAAATGGCTAGGAGGCGGAGACCCCCGTGTGGACGTGAGGGCCGGTGCTTCATCATGGTGGACTAGGATTTATGGCTGCTGCCTAAATAAGGGGCCCTGCAGCTGCCCAGACTTGAAGGTCACTCTCAGGGGCTCTTGTTGCCTTATATGGTGGTAGCTGCCCCAGAGAAGTGCCATCCCAAGGTAAAGGGGGGTTGGAGGCTGAGTATTTACTGCCTTTACTACATGGGCCTAGTGTTGCCTAGGAAGGGAGCATGTCAAGCTGTGAAGAGGAAGGAGTGTACTAAGCTATGGGAAGGGAGCTTATTTAACTTAACTATATCCGCATCTATCTGTCTAGGTAGATAGATATAGCTATATAGTGAGAGATAGGTAAGACCAGGGTTTGAACCCAGAATCGAAGCCTACAGCCCAAATGCTAAGTCAAAGTGCTGAGTTGAAATAGACTTAAGCTAACAAGGATGGCATTGAAGAGGATCATTTTTTTGTGTGTGTATTTAATCAACACAGAGAAACACAATACCTACTCTGTTGTCTCCTTTAAGCCAGGTCCTGACCCCAGAAGAGCTAAAGATCAATGAAACATGGTGCCAGGCACAAGTGGCTCTCACGCCTGTAATCCTGGCTACTCAGGAGGCTGAGATCTGAGGATCACGGTTCAAAGACAGCCTGGGCAGGAAAGGCCGTGAGACTCTCCAATAAACCACTCAGGAAACCGGAAGTGGCACAATGGCTCAAGTAGGAGAGTGCTTGGCCTTGAACTGAAGAGTGCCAGGACAGTGCCCAGGCCCAGGGTTCAAGCCCTACGACCAAAATAAAAGGAAAGAAATGGTGTCTTCCTCCGGGATGGCTCCCTTGTCCCATGCAATAGGGGCAGGGAGTATGGCTGTAGTCTCAGTGGGTAGTGCCACAGCCTCCCATGGGACTGTGCCAGATGAAGCAACCTGCATACCTTGGTCCCTGGATTGCGTCCATCTGCTACCCTCACCCCTGTCCCAAGCCTGCCTTGGCTCAGCTGACTTCCTCCCTCTTTTCTGGCTTCTTCCCCTCTCAGCCCCTGCAGGGCACCCATGTGCAGACTCTGGAAGGCCCAGCACCTGCCTCTCTCCACTCTTGGAGTTCTACCAGCTTGGCTCAGACCTGAGCGGGGAGAGCTTGGCCCCTTCCCAGCGGCAGAGGAGGAGGAGGAGGAGGAGGGAGGCTGGGAACGAAGTCTGGAGCTTGGTGTCGCAATTCCCGGGCCCGTGTTGGGACCTTTGCTCTCGGAGGTGTCTATAGAGGGGAGGGAACGCTGACGCTGGAGGCTGTCGGGAAACAGGCGCCTGGGAACACTCCTGTAAGAGGGTAAGGAGAGGAAGGGCAGAGATAGGACCGAAAGGCGACTGTCTTGGTTCGGGTGGGGGGGGGGCGAGGGAGGGGGGAGCAGCCAGGGAGGAGTCAGCTTGGTGGGGGAACTAACTACCCTGTGGGTAGGGGCCAAGGAGGCCAGGGCTTCAGTTTGTCGGCAGCAGGAAGGAGAGGTAGCCCAACTCACATTTCTGCTTCTCTGGGCTTCAGGTCCCTCTTCTGTGCTCAGCTCTGGTCACCGGCCTGCCTCGGACTCCGGGACCGGGGACTGCACCAACCTCTTCTCCCAGCAAGGGGGCTCCAGAGACTGCGCAACCAGGAAGTCTGGTGGCCTGGAGCTTTGGTGGGTCCCTCCTCGGCAGCAGCTGGGGGCTGTGTGGGTGTCTAGGGTGGGGAGAAAGGTGGACATCAGAATCTTACGGGGGGGGGGGGAGTTGTGAGAAATGAGGAGTGCTGGGGATGGGAGCTGGATTCCTAGAAGAACTCACCAGGGGCTTTGGGAAGACTCGCAGAGCAACAGGACCCCTGCAAATGACAGGAGTGAGACTCGCGCACTCAGCCTTAATCCTGTCCCCTGGTACTGCCTAACTTTGGCTCTCACCGGTGCTAGAGTGAAGACAAGAGGCTATGATAGCATGCAGGAGGGTGGAGAGAAGGTAGCACAGTGATGGAAGATTCATACTCTGGTTTCTGAGAAATTGAGGTTGCAGTCTTGGCTTTACCATCACTGAACTGTGTGGCCCTAAGCAATTCAGTTAATCTTTTGAACCTCCGTTTGTTCATCTTTCAAATGGGATTAAGAGTAGTCCTGACAAGCTAAGTGTGTAACTCAGTGGAAGAGAGTTTGCTCAGGTTTGTGTGAAGCCCTTAGTTTGGTCCCCAGGACTGAAAAAAAGAATAGTCCTGACCTCATTGAAACATAATGAAGAAGGCTAGTAAATGTCAGTTCATAATGTAAGAAGTGATTTTTTTTTTTTAAGAAAGCAAGCACAAGAGAAGGGAGCTGAAAGCCCAAAGAAACCCAATTTTGGAAGAGTGTAACTTGGGTCATCTCTGCAGGACAGTGCCTTGGTAATGTCCAGGGCTCTAGGAAGACATGTCCTTGTGGCTGGAGGCATCTGGGCCTGTTGTTTCTCCTGGTAAGCATCTTTGTTCCTGAGTCCAGACCCTGGGTTCCTCTCCTCCTTTCAGAACCAGCCTTCTTTACTACCTGCATTCTGCCTTCCTCCAGAGCCCAGTGCAGAGCTCTTCTTGGTGTTGCTTGCCTCCTGGTCAGACTACCTCTGCCCAGGCTCTGGTTTCCTTTTTCTTTTTTCATTTTGCCTAAACGAACTTGAAATCAGGGTCTCACAGTTGCTTGGCTTTCTTGCTCATGAATAGTGCTCTACCACTTGAGCTACATCTCCAGGCTGCCTTTTTGCTGCTTAATTGGACTTGGAGTCACTGGTACCCAGCTCTGGCTCTGGTTTTTAATTTATGAATATACTCCTGTCCAGGTCGCCTCAATCTGGGTTTGCTGCTGAGGAGAGCTGCATGTCTAGTGCTAATCTAGCTCTGGCTTTTAAGACTTTGGTTTTATCACTGAAGTGAGCCCCCTCTGGCCGATCCCAAGGGGGTAAAGGTTAACATCTTCATTGGAGGTCTTGGTGGACAGGTCTCACCAGTCCTAGAGCCCATAAAACCCTAGAATCCCTACACATGAGCTCTACCCTTTAGGGTAAAGAAAAGCTTGCAGTTTCACAGCCAGAATGCTTGGAGAATGGAGCCTGGATAGAACCAGACTGTCTTGTGTCTCTTTTGGGCTTAGACTCGGCAGTGGAACTGTGGGAGCCAGACACCCAAGATGCAAGCAGCCAGGCCCAAGGAGGCAGCACCTTCCTTAGAGAGGATTCCAGGATGCCTCCATCTGCTGGGGGCCCTTTGGGCCTGCGGCTGGAAGCAGCAGAGCCCACTGCCCTGCTTACAGAGCCCACAGGTGAGGAGATTCTCTTTATTTGCAGGGAATAGGGGCTGGAGTAGGAGGGAACAGGTAATGTGGGTCCCTTTATTTTTATAATATCATGGCTAGGTCCAAAGGCTTGAGGTCAGCTAGACTTGAGTGATCTGAGCATGAATTTTTGTTTTCCTCTCAGTTTTCTTATTTGTAAAATGACAAGAACAATTATAGTGTCAACAGTGCATAGAAAGGGCTCATACTATTCCTAAGACGAAGGGCTTTAGTGAATGAGAACTGTTCTTATAATAAAGAGATAAAACCAGACACTGCAGTACAAGCCTGTACTCCCAGCTACTCTGGTGGCTGAAGCAGGAAGATGCTTGATCCCAGAAGTTCAAGGCCAACTTAGGCAACAAAACAAGACCCCATCTGAAAAGAGAGAGAGAAAAGGGAGTAAGAGAAAATAGACTGTATGTAATGAAGGGAACTGAGTGCCCAGGGCAGTTACTGAATTGGAGAGACCCTTGAAACTCTTCTCTGAATCCAGAGCTCCGTCCACAAAAACGGAAAAAGGGGCCAGCCCCCAAAATGCTGGGGAATGAGCTGTGCAGTGTGTGCGGGGACAAGGCCTCTGGCTTCCACTACAACGTGCTGAGCTGTGAGGGCTGCAAAGGATTCTTCCGCCGCAGTGTCATCAAAGGAGCTCGCTATGTCTGCCACAGTGGCGGCCATTGCCCCATGGACACCTACATGCGTCGCAAGTGCCAGGAGTGTCGGCTTCGCAAATGCCGCCAGGCGGGCATGCGAGAAGAGTGTGAGTGCTTGGCATGGGGGGTGGGGAGGGAGAGACTGATGAGACAGAAGGGTGGCAGAGATGAGGGCAGATATCTGCATCTCTAAACAGATTGAACTCTCTTCCTTGCTTTTACCCAACACTCTCTGCAGTTCTAGAGCTCGGACACACACACACACACACACGCACACACGCACACACGCACATCCCCCACCCCATTTTTGCTTCCCTCCCCCTCCTTCTCCCATGCTCACATCTGGCCCCGTCCTTAGGTGTTCTGTCAGAGGAACAGATCCGTCTAAAGAAACTGAAGCGACAAGAAGAGGAACAGGCTCAGGCCACATCTGTACCCCCAAGAGCTTCCTCACCTCCCCAAGTCCTGCCGCAGCTCAGCCCCGAGCAGCTGGGCATGATTGAGAAGCTGGTGGCCGCCCAGCAACAGTGTAACAGGCGCTCCTTTTCTGACCGACTTCGAGTCACGGTACTTGCCCGGCCTGGGGAGAGGTGGCTGGACCCGAGGCACCAGCTGGCTTCTCCATGGCCAACTCAAAGCAGTTCGCTTTTTCCTTCTCATCCTCCTGGGTAGCCGTGGCCCATGGCACCAGATCCCCAGAGCCGGGAAGCACGTCAGCAGCGCTTTGCCCACTTCACAGAGCTGGCCATCGTTTCCGTGCAGGAGATTGTTGATTTTGCCAAACAGCTCCCTGGCTTCCTTCAGCTCAGCCGGGAGGACCAAATCGCTTTGCTGAAGACCTCTGCAATTGAGGTGGCTGGAAAGAGCAAGGGATGATGGGAAAAGCAGAATGGGATTATCTGTCAAGGGAGGTGTGGGGGGGGGGCGGGGGGGAAGCACCAGATGTCTAGCTGGAAGAGCCCAACTCACTGGGAAGCAGGGATAGGGGAAATCAACCTTCCCTGGAAGGGCCATGCACCACCATGAGCCCTCCTCATCCCTTTCTGAGAGCTGCTATTTGTGTGCAGGTGATGCTTCTAGAGACATCTCGGAGGTACAACCCTGGCAGTGAGAGTATCACCTTTCTCAAGGATTTCAGTTATAACCGGGAAGACTTTGCCAAAGCAGGTGAGAGCTGAGCTGGCCGAGGGACTGGGTTGGGAGGACAGCTACTGTAGTCACCAGGCCCATTGTGGTTACAGGGCCATGAGCCTGAGGTTTTGGTGGTAGTAAAGGGAAGGCTCAGTCTGGTTTGCCAAAAGAGAAAATTGAAATGCTGATAGGCCTCTCTCAACTGCTCCAAATAGACCCTTGTCCTCTATTGTATTAAACTAAGTCTTTTCTTTCTCTTTCTTCCCTCCCTCCCTCCCTTCCTCCTTTCTCTCTTTCTTTCTTTCTTTCCTTGCCTGGGCACTAGCTCTAAGCTTCTTTGTGCTAAAGGCTAGCGCTCTACCACTTGAGCATAGTGCCACTTCCTGTTTTGAGTGGTTAATTGGAGATAAGTCTCATAGGAACTTTTCTGCCCAGGCTGGCTTTGAGCCATGATCCTCGAGCTCAGCCTCCCGAGTAGCTAGGATTACAGGCATAAGCCACCAGCTTATGGCTAAGCTAATTATTTTCTAACTGTGTCCTATATAATCTGGTGAGTTTATGGAAGCATCAGTTTAGGGGAGACAGAGGCAGACAGACAAATAGCCTTCATACATACTTTAACCAAACAAGAAGTCCACTAAAATCTGTGTTCACTCTTGTGGCTCTGGTATCATTTTTCTAAAAAAGATTTTATAGCTAGAAAAAAAATTGGAAACCACTGCACTAAACTACTTTCTTCCTCCTCCCCTTCTTCCTCCTCCTCTTCTTCCATCTTCCCTTTTTCCTCTTTATTTTCCTCTTCATGTGTGCCAGTACTGGGACTTGAACTCAGGGCCTTGTGCACTCGCTTGGCTATTTTGCTCTCCATTGGCCCTCCATTCCTTGAGCCACACCTCTACTTCTGGTATTATGTTGGTTATGTGGAGATAAGTCTCTTGGGTTTATTTGTCCTGACTGGCTATGAACCTCAATCCTCAGATTTCAGCTGCCTGAGTAGCTAGGATTATAGGAATGAGCCACTCGTGCCTGGCTTGCACTAAAACTTTCAATAGTGAACAAATTTTTTTCTGATGTGTTTTTGAAGGATCATCAGGTTTACTACCCCCTATTCTTTTCTCACTGTTTTTGATGAGCTGTAGAACTGCAGTTGAAACATGGCAGATGCTACAGGTATAAGGGAGCAGTGACTGTTTCTACCCTCTTCTTTTGTCTGTAGTATTGTCTTTAAGAACTGATTCACATGCTTGAAGTCTGATGCTTGCTTGGGGTTAAGCAGAGGAGGTTTTCTGCTGTTGGTAATGTTTGTGGTTGGGGGAATGAAAGATGGGAAAGGATGGAAGGCTGAGGAAATCCTAGAAGGACTAGAAATGAGGTTTAATAGGAGACAAAGTGGCTTAACAGCTGAGGATCTGTGGTTTGTTTGTTTGTTTGTTTTTTGGTCTGATCGTGGGGCCAGAACTCTAAACTCTGGGCCTGGGTGCTGTCCCTCAGCTCTTCAGCTCAAGGCTAGCGCTCTACCACTTGAGCCACAGTGCCACTTCTGGCTTTTTTCTTTTTGCTTATGTGGTGCTGAGGAATCAAACCCAGGGCCTCAGGCATGCAAGGCAAGTGCTCTACCACTGAGCCACCTTCCCAGCCCCAAGCTGAGGATCTGTGAAATATGGCAAACACTCCATTCTCAGGGCTGTGAGATCCTTGGTTCTAAGCTAGAGTTCATAAAACCCTCTCTGATTTCTGGTGACTTACTCCAGCTCGTGTGCCTCCTGTCCCAATGTGAGCCACCCAATGAGCTTTCTAGGAAAGTCTCCCTTAATTGAGGATAGAGCAGAGCTCTGTTGATTTCCATTGCTTTGTACACGAAGCATGGAGTGAATGTATGAGCAACTAATGGATGATTTGATGGCTTCTCCTCACTTTAAAGCCCAGCCCTGACCCCTTCTCTACTCAAGTACCTTTTCCCCAAATGGCAATTGTCCCAGAGCTCCTTAGTCTCCTCCTCCTTCAGAAACCTCTTCTAAACTCTTCCCAGTTCCAGTCCTTTGTCAGCGTTTCTGGACTTGTGCTATCTTTTTTATTTTTTCTGTCCATCGAGCTGCTTGAACCCAGGGCCTGGCACTGACCCTGAGCTTTTTCACTCAAGGCTAGTATGCTACCACTTTGAGCCAAAGAGACACTTCCAGTTTTTCTGGTGGTTAGTTGGAGAGTCTCATGGACTTTACTGCCTAGGCTGGCTTCAAACTGTGATCCTCAGATCTCAGCCTCCTGAGTCGCTAGGATTACAAGTCTGAGTGACCTGCACCCAGCTTGTGCTATCTTAATCTGCACCTTCTTAAAGACTGCTTTTTTTCTCTCTCTCTTTTTATCTGTTGGGGAAGGTGGGGGGAGGCTCCAGACATCCTGCTGGGAGAGCCCAACCCTCCCTTCCCCCTTGCCTCCTTCCTTCCTTCCTTCCGTCTTTCCTTCTCTCCCTCCCTCCCTCTCTCCTTCCTTTCTTCCTTCCTTTCTTTCTTCCCCCTCTCTCTTTCTCCTTCCTTACTTTCTTCCTTCCTTGATTCCTTCCTGCCTTCCCCTCTCTCTTTCTCCTTCCTTCCTCCCTCTCCCTTTTCTTCCTTCTTTCATTTCTTCCTTCATTTCTTCCTTCCTTCCTTCCTTTCTTCTTCCCTCCCTCCCTCCCTTCTTTCTCTTCTCTTCTCTTTCCTCTGAAACAAATTTTCACTTATAGCTCAGGTAAGCCTTGAACTCTCCACTCAGCTGGGATGACAGGTATGTACCACCATATCCTGCTATAAGTTGGTGGGTTTTTTGGTTGTTGTTGCTGTTGTCAGTCATGGGGCTTGAACTGTGGGCCTGGGTGCTGTCCCTTAGCTCTTCAGCTCCAGGATAGCACTCTACCCCTTGAGCCACAGGGCCACTTTGTTTTTCTGGTGGTTATTGGAGATGAGTCTTCTGGACTTTCCTGCCTCGGCTGGCTTTAAACCATGATCCTCAGATCTCAGATCCTCCTGAGTAGCTAGGATCACAGAGCCGCCAGCGCCTGGCTACTTCTGGCTTTTGCTGATGGATTGGATATAACAATCTTGGGAAGTTTTCTGCCCAGGCTCGCTGTGAACCACAATTCTCAGATCTCCTGAATAGATTATGATTATAGGCATAAACTACCAGGACCTGGGTTAAGTTCTTTTTTTAAAAAAAGAACTTTAAAGCAGGTTTATCTGTCTAACTAAATACTTACTTATTTATTTTGTAGTGCTGGGGATTGAACCCAGGACCTTGCATGTATTAGGCAAGTGCTTTATCATGTGAGCTTTCCCATGCTCCTCCACCAACCTTGTCTTTGTTTGTTTTTTTTTGTTGTTGTTGTTGTTGGTTGTGGGGCCTGAACTCTGGGCCTGGGCGCTGTCTCTCAGCTCTTCAGCTCAAGGCTAGTGCCCTACCACTTGAGCCACAGTGCCACTTCGGGCTTTTTCTGCTTATGTGGTACTGAGGAATCAAACCCAGGGCCTCATGCCTTCAAAGCAAGCACTCTACCACTGAGCCACCCTCTCATCCCCTGTCTTTGTTTTTGAGATAAGGTCTTACCACTTACTTTGCTCAGATTGGCCTCATATTGGTGATCCTCCTGTCTTTACCTCTGGAATAGCTGGGATTATAGACATGTGTCGCCACATTGGCTATTTAACCAGTTTCAATGTCACTGTATTTAACTTTCTTATTTCCTCTGTGAGGCCTTGGGGAAAAGGACGGTGCTCTACTTTGTTAGGTCTCTTTCCCCTTTGCATTCACTACTGCACATTGTGAGCAATAGATGGCCAATGATGTGGACTGATACCATTTGAAGTATTTACCTGTTCAGCTTTAGCAGACCCTTGTATGCATAACTCCATCTTAGAACCTTTTCTGTAGTTGTACAGAGGGGCTTTTGGATATATGTTAGAGCTTTGTTAAATTGGGTTTGCCCAGTCAACACATTAACACACTTGATAAACATCAGGGTAAAAGAACTTCAAGAAGTGACTAAGAAGTCTCTAGGGGCCAAGTGGTTGCTTAAAATTAGTCTGAGAAAGCAGCCTAGAAAACTGTGTGGGGTGCAGAGACCGACTATGGGAGAAGTATCCTCTACAGGCCACGGCCTTATGTCATGTTGATGTTAGTTGTTTTCTCTGAAGGAAGACTGGTTCCATTAAATTTCTTGCTTAACAAACACCTACTAAAATACCACATACGTCACAAGTATCCCGAAGACTTTATGAGGTAGGTTCTATAATTATCTCCATTTTGCAGATGGGAAAACCAAGGCCCAGAAGTTAGTTTGCCCCAAGTCACATAAATCCCAGCATTTCTTTACAACAGAGCCAGGATTCAAATCTTGACATTCTGGCACTGGAGTCTATAGTTTCAGCCACATTACTGAATTCATCCCTCTAGGATGTGACACATGAAATGTTATAACATTTTACATTACAAAGTATGAATGAGAATATGGTATGTATAATTTATATTTTTTCTTATAGTAAGAAAACCCCATATTGTGCAACTGTATTGTTGGAAAGTTTCTGGGGGTGGGGGGAACTTTTGCATTCTTGACTGGATAATTGTGTATGGGTAGAAGTATGAAAAGACTGGAACTTGCAGCTGGGTGCCAGTGGCCCATGCCTATAATTCTAGCTACTCAGGAGGCTGAGATCTAAGGATTTTGGTTCAAAGCCAGCCCAGGCACAAAAATTCTTGAGACTCTTATCCCCAGTTAACCTGCAAAAACCATAATTGGAGGCATGGAGCATCAGTCTTGAGTGAAAAAGAAAAAGAATGAGAGTGTAAAGCTCTGAGTTCAAGCTCCAGGTTTTTTTTCCTCTCTCTTCCTCTCTCTCTCCCTGCCCCTCACACTCAGAGTGTATTTTGCAATTTTTTTTTTTTTTTTTTTGCCAGTCCTGGAGCTTGAACTCAGGGCCTCGGCATTGCCCCTGAGCCTATCTGTGCTCAAGGCTAGCAATCTACCACTTGAGCCACAGCGCCACTTCCAGCTTTTTCTGTGTATGTGGTACTGAGGAATTGAACCCAGGACTTCATGGATGCTAGGCAAGCACTCTACCACTAAGCCACATTCCCAGCCTCTTTCCCAATTCTAACAAAACAAAACAAAAAACAAAACTCTGTGTAAACTGAGAGGCTGGGCTTTTGTTCTGTTCTGTTTTTATACTTTTGCTACTGAAAGCCTTACCAAGTTAGGTAGAGTGATATCAAGTTCTGTATCAAAAATAGACAAGAGAATTCTGTCGATGCTATAACGTGATTCTATACTGGTGAAAATAACCTTTTGTTTCCCCTCATCCTTTTTTTGTTTCCCTTATTTAAATCCTTAGTGTCCTTTTCTCATTCATGACTCTCTGTATTACCCCAATCAATAAATTTGTGTGTGTGTGTGTGTGTGTGTGTGTGTGAAAAACCATTATCTCCAGTATTCAGATAAAACTGTTTACCAGTTAAAAAAAAAAAGGGGGAGAGGGGAAAAAAAGGCAGGGAGGCAGGCACTAATGGCTCATACCTGTGATCTTAGCTACTCCGGAGGCTGAGATAGAGGATTGTGGTTTGAAGCCAGATCAGGCAGGAAAATCTATGAGACTCTTCTTTCCAGTTAACCACCAAAAAGCCAGAAGTGGAGCTGTGGCTTGAGAAAAAAAAAGCTCAGGAACAGTGCCCAGGCCCTGGGCTCAAGCCACACAACCAGCGCAAAATTAAGGGGGGGACACCATGGGGGGAGGAAGAGGTGCGCTTCTTTATAAACAAGTAATAAATGCCTCTATTTCTAGAAATATGGAATTCTTGAAAATTCTAACAGAATTTAGCCAGGTAGAGTGTACACCTATAATCTCAGCATTCAGGAAACTGAGGAGGATGGAGAGTTCAAGGCCAGCCCAACTACATAGTAAGGCACTGTTATCAAACCAAACCAAATCAAACCAAAAAAGGACAAGCAAAACAAAGCAAAATGAAAAATATTCTCTCCTCAAAATAGTTACTGTTTAATTCAGTACCTATATGCCAGAACAGTGTTAAGATCTCTGTATGCTTTATAATTTAATCATCACAACAATTAGCTAATGTATTTCACAGCAGAGGCTTAGAGAGGTGAAGAAACTTGCCCTTACATAGCTCTCTGGAGACATCTGTGAGTTCCTAGGGGCTCCTCCAGGTGAGAAGTTGGAGGAAGTTCCTGCTGTTCCTGTCACTTCCTTTGTTTCTTTCTAGGACTACAGGTGGAGTTCATCAATCCCATCTTTGATTTCTCCAGAGCCATGAATGAGCTTCAACTCAATGATGCAGAGTTTGCTTTGCTCATTGCCATCAGCATCTTCTCTGCAGGTGCGCAGGAGGGACAAGAGGGAAACTGAGTAAGAGACTTGCATGCAAGAGGGCTGCAGGCCCTCCCCTCCCCCAGGGCAGGAATAGTGGGAGTGAAAATCCACGCTGTGTTTTTTAGCCAAGTGGGAGAGGTTGGCTGGGAGATGTCCCTAACTTTGAGTTGTGGGTATGGAATTAAGAACCCTGGCCAGATCTGCTCCTCAATTGTGTTGGTCACCTGTAGACCGGCCCAACGTGCAGGACCAGCTCCAAGTAGAGAGGCTGCAACACACATATGTGGAGGCCCTGCATGCCTACGTCTCCATCCACCACCCCCATGTGAGTCATGTCATCCTGTCCCGGTGTCCCCTTCCCCTTTCCCCTCTGCTCCTTGGGTCCCATTCCCTGAAACATTTTCCCTTCAAGCAAGTGCCTCTTGGCCTTCATCTAGTATGGGCAATTATCCATGTCTCCCTAACTTCTCTGCCTTTGCATCTCCTTGCCTGAGAGAACCAAAGACCACACTTGTCCCTTTTCTTTCCTTAAGGACCGATTAATGTTCCCACGGATGCTAATGAAATTGGTGAGCCTCCGGACACTGAGCAGCGTCCACTCAGAGCAAGTGTTTGCGCTCCGCCTGCAGGACAAAAAGCTCCCCCCGCTTCTCTCAGAGATCTGGGATGTGCACGAGTGACTCTTCTTTCCCTCTGTGTTCTGGGCTGCGTGGCTGGAGGACCCCTAACTGCCTCCATGGGGTGGGACAGACTGAGAAGGGCAAATAGTCCTGGGAGCTAGGTGAAAGAGCTTCTCAGTGGCTTTGGAGAGTGTGTGTGTGTGTGTGTGTGTGTGTGTGTGTGTGTGTGTGTGAGTGAGGGGGGGAAGGTTGTTAAAATGATGTTTCATCTGATGACAGTATTAACCCAGTCAAGTGGATGAACCATGGGCCACTTTGCATAAGGTTCTCCAGCGCCCTGCCCATTCTGCCTTCACCACTTCCTGTTTTTTTCCCCCAAGGGGGACCTCAAAAGATATTCTCCACTGTCATTCTGCAGCTTGGCCATAAACGCCTCGGGGCTGGTACTTGAAACAGGAAGACCGAGATAAATACAGAGAGAAAAGAATTTCTGCATTAAGGCTGAGGACATGGCTATAGAGGAGGAAGCCTGTGTCCTGTAGGATCCGCCTCCAGACTCAGTCAAGGCTGTCAGTAAGAGGGAGCCTCATTTCACAGTTCCACGGCGCAGTCTTGATAAAAAACAAATGCTGAGGCTTAGCCCTAACTTCTCCCCGGATGATGGGATAGGTGGGAGCGGGTGGTCCTTCTCTGGGCAAGAAGGGGTTGGAACTTCAGAGCTCAGCTGTGCACCTCACACACGTGAATAATGTCTGCGTTTTTCCGTTGGCGGATGAAAGAGGACACACAACCTGCAAGACCTAGGACCAGAAAAATCCCTCCTCCCGGTCCCCAGACCCTGCAGGACCAGAAGCCCCGGAAGGGCAGCGGTGGAGTGGGGACGGGAGGGGGGGGAAGTTGCCCTGAGCCGCGGAGCTCTTAAGAGACTTGGACTCCATTTCCCAGTGGGCACCGCGGCACCGCTCACGCCCTCCCCTCCCCCGTGGTGCGCTCCGGTGTAGGTGATAACGCAGTCCCCGCCCCCAACCCCGCCACCCAAAATTGGTAGGCTCCGTCGGCCGGGTATTCGGCTCTCCAGTCCCGGCGGGCGAGCCCTGCCAAACAGCGCGCGCAGGGGGGGGGGGGGGGAATGGAGCCAGGTGAGCTTTGACGAGGTGGATATAAAGTGCTCGGGGGCAGTTTAATCCAATTTCAGATTAAAAGGTATTTCGTTAAAACGGATCTGTGATCATGGCCAATTAAAATCTCTCTGAGCAACCGAAACAAGCGATATTCCTTTTGAGTTCTCCCCCCTTGGCACCCGGCGATGCTGGGCTGGCCCAACTCCTCCCAACTCGTACCCACTCCCTCACTGATAGGTGTGTGCAGAAGCTGCCTCCCTCCAAAGATCGGACCCACCTTTCCGCGCTCCTTTTGGTACGACCCCTCTCCCCCCCCACCTCCGCGGTGAATGGTACGGCCCCGGCCCCCTCAGCCTCCCCCTCCCGCACCGCAACGGAGTGGTACGCGCCCCCCCCCCTCCCCCGAGCCAGACGCGGAACTGGCGCCCGCTGACAGCGGCGCCTCGCGGGGGCAGAGGCACGCTGGGCGGGCGGCGAGGCGCGGCGCGGCGCGGGCACGTCCCGCTGTGGCCTGGCAGGTTCCTCGAGACCCGGGAGGTAGGAGAGTCCAGGCCGGGGGCGGGGGTGGGGATCCTAAGCGTGTATTTGAAGGGAGGGGGCGGTCCTGGGGAGAAGCGGCGTCTGCGAGGAAAAGGGGCTTCGGGAGCAGCGGGTCTTCGAGGAGGCCCTGAGGGGACGAGAGGGGGGCGTGGAGTCCGCGGGGGTCCGAGGAGGGAGGGGGCGCGGCCCGCGGTGGGGCCGCGGCGGCCGCCGAGGGGGCGCGTGCGGGCCGCGGGCGCTGGCACCGCTCGGCCCCTTTCCTGCCCGGCGGGCGGCGCTGGTTCCGGGGCGGGGGCGGGGAACTGTCCAGCAGGTGAGGAGGCGGGCAGAACTGTCCAGCCCCGGGCCCCAGTCGGCACCTGCACCTGGCGTGTGTGCTGGTGCGCGTGTGCATATGTGTGTGCGCGCGTGCATGCGTGCGTGGTCTTATTTTCGGCTTGGATTTCGAGATTCACGTTTGGTTCTTATACATGCATGCACACATACATAAATACAAATATTTCATGTTTCACTATTGATCAGCTAAAGAGTGCAGATACCAACTTCTTCTTTTCCTGCACCTGCTGGCCCTTCCATCCTCACGCATCTAAATTCTTCCTCCTTTTCCTGTGCTCCTCCTTCTTCCCCAGCCCTACCTATCTCCAGCCTTATTGCTCCAGTTCTCCCTCAAGCTGGACCAGTCTGTGCTGATGAACTTGCAAGGTCACTGCCTGGGGAGGGGGAGGAGGGGAGAAGAGTCTCCCGATGTGCTCACGTCAGCAAAGATGTCATATCACCCTCAGCTTGGGTTCCTGTGGTTTTAAGGAAGATCCTGTCCCCAAAGAGGGACAGACCCCAAAGGGTTAGCTAGCAAAGGCTAAAGGTCTGTGGGATCTAGAGGTGGATGGTGTTGTAGGACTTCAGCAGAAAGGTATGCATTTTTAACGACAGGATGCCTTTGGATTAAATGGGGACAGCAGCTAGGGGCTCTGCATTAGTAAACATGATTGAGGCAAGAGGTTATAACCTGACTGGTTATGAAGACTTATGAAGATAGTATGAGTTGTAGTTGATGTTAGAAGAATTAGAGTCTGTGGGACAGGAAAGACCAAGAAATGGGAAGAAAAGGCTTGGTTAGCTCTGCAGCCTGAATAACTGAAGTGAGTGTCCATTGGTGAGATGCGAATTGTGGTTGATAAAAGCTCCACTGGAAGCTAGGATAGTCACAAGATTCCAGGATCCTTATAGTTCTAGAAGGAAAAGACTGTTGAATGTAATGACTTGAGTCAGGATAAAGGGTGGGATCCCACCAATTACTGGAGTGCCTAATTTATTAATAGGAGGTTCTCCAGGCCCCATCTTGGAGACTTTAGCTAGAAGGAATTTCTACTTTTCAATGTAAACTTACATTCTTAAGACAGGCTAACGCTCTGGTCCTTATAGAACCAGAGTGGTACTTTAAGATACTTTGGCTCTCACTTTAGACATTTCAACATAGTTCTTTATAGACTGAATTATATTTTCATCTACATTGCATTTTAGGTCTCCATTCCCTCCCTTTTTTGTTCTGCTTAGGAGGAGCTGAGCTCAGCTCTGCCCTATGCTCTGCAGCATGCTCACAACTCTAGCAGTTGGGAAAACCAAAGGACTGTTTGGGGTCATTTAACAGTGGTGGCCCTCAGAAATGAGTGTGTGTATGACAAGCTTGGCAACTTGGTGTTGAGATAACTCTAGCAAAAGCCACAATTGGGTCAAAGTATAAATGAACAGCAGATGGGGGAGAAGATAACCTAATTCTTAGCAGGTACTGCCAGTGGAAGGCGTGTCTTCAGGTTTAGGGAGAGTGAATTGCTGTGGGCCCTGGCCAACTGGTGTAGCAGCTGCTAGCACTGTGCGGTCACCAACAGGGGAGGGCCTGTGGCTCTGCTATAAATAGTGCTGGGAGCCAGAGTCGCTATGGAGACACAACTGAATCCTATTACCTGTGGGTCCTCTATTGGGAGCAACGGAAAAGAGGGAGCATATTTTGAGGGCACCAGAAGTGTTGTAAATAGGTCTTGTTTATTATTAGAGGAGAAAAAAAGATAGAACTTCTACTCATTCTCTAAATCAAATAGAGCCTTAGCAGACAAAGAGGATATATATCTGTGTGTATGGGAGTATACACAACAATAAGTGAAGGAGGGCTGGGAAGGTGGCTCAGTGGTAGAGCGCTCGCCTTGCATGCTCAAAGCCCTGGGTTCGATTCCTCAGCACCACATAAGCAAAAAAGAAAAAAGCCGGAAGTGGCGCTGTGGCTCAAGTGGTAGAGCGCTAGTCTTGAGCTGAAGAGCTGAGGGACAGCGCCCAGGCCCAGAGTTCAGGCCCTATGACCGGACCCAAAAAAAAAAAAAAAAACAATAAGTGAAGGAGATGGATGTATGTGTGTGTTTGAGTGTTGACATACTGGGATACTTTATGTGTACAGTAAAGAAGTTCTCAATGTGACCTCTGTGCAGAGCATAGAGACAGAACACTGGAGCACTGGAGATAGCCTTTTAATGTAGTGAAATATTTTATTTACAGAAGCATATAGAAACCTAACAGGAACTTATAGATGATTAAGATCATATAAGCGTTTGCTAATATTAGATCTATAGTTTAGAAATCCCTCTGAATACTTGTCCCTTCCTTGAAGAAATCCTAGTATTTTCAGTTTCTACTTAATAAGGCGGAGTAGGACAAGGCATCTTCTGTAAGTGTGGTTTGCTGATTCTGATTCCAAACTAGAATAGAGAACTTTAGGTTCAGCACCAAGGGCAGAGCTCATAGCAGTAGCCACCCTGACCCCTTTCTTGATGGAAGGGAGAGAAAAGTGGTTGAGATGGCTGTTAGGGACATTCTTCACATGAGATCACAGGAGCTGGAATAACCAGCTGTTGTTATTGTCTGAGTGCAATTAACTACAAAGTCCACATGGTAGATTCACATCAAGCTTGATGCAGATTGTTGAAACAGAACTATTAGATTTCCACCTAGATCTAGAAGTGCTGATTAAAAAATCCCATTTGGATCACCTCTGGAACAGTCCTGAAAGTGACTTAATTTTTGTTATAATAACTAAGTCCATATTAGACTGCCTACATCTTTTTGTTGTTGTTGTTGTTGTTTCAGAAACAGAGCCCTAAGAGATAGGTTTGGGAATGAACAAGTCGGTAAGAATGGGGTTTCATGGGCCAAAAACTCCTTGTGCTCCTTTTGCAGTGCTAGAAATTGAACCCAGGTCCTTGTACATACAAGGCAAATGCTCTGCCACTGAGTTACATCTCTAGCCTACTTGATATTTGGCTTAGAAGCTCATAAGCCTAGATGCTCACTAGACAAGGCAAGTGTCAAGTTCTCCTATCCTTAGTACTAACGTAGAAGTCCTTCCGACCTGTGACCCCAGTCAGGATGAAATTGAGAGCAAGGATGATTCCCTAGGCACAGCAATGGATCTTATCAATACTCTTTTTTTCCCTATTAAACTTGAATTTTCAGATAATATCAGAATTCCTCCTGGAAATGCTGACTCCTTCCTAGCTCAGACCACTGAAGTTTCTCTGAGATGAGATGAACTGATGAATTGGAGCCATGGTGCAAAAGAAGAAATTCTGCCCTCGGTTACTTGACTATCTAGTGATTGTAGGGGCCAGGTAACTAAAACTTGATATTGTCTTGTCATCTGGGACAGCCACAGAGCCTTCAGTTATTCTCCTTCCCTGTTTTCATGTTACTTTGCGTATCTTATTCTTCCATATTATTTTACCCTGATGGAAACATCAGTGCCAATAGCGAAAACAGCATAAGTTGAGTGGGTTGAGAATTTCGTCTAGAGAAAAATGAAAAAAACTCTATACTTATATCTCTCTGAATTTGAGCAAATATGTACTTTTTTTGGTATGTGTGTACTGGTACTAGTGCTTGAATTTAAGGCTTGGGAACTATTTCTTAGATTTTTGTTGTTGTTGTTCAAGATTGGTAGACTGGTGCTCTGCTACTTGAGCCACAGTTCCATTTCTGGCTTTTTGGTAGTTAATTGGAGGTAAGAGTCTCACAGACTTTCTTGCCTGGGCTGGCTTTGAACCATGATCCTTAGATCTCAGCTTCCTAAGTAACTAGGATTACAGGTATGAGCCAACAGCGCCAAGCCAAATATAAACTTTAGATCCAGTTTTCTTACTTTATTTTTATTTATTTTTTTGGGGGGGTCCGGTCGTGGGTCCTGAACTCTGGGCCTGGGCTCTGTCCCTCAGCTCTTCAGCTCAAGGCTAGCGCTCTACCACTTGAGCCACAGCGCCACTTCCGGCTTTTTTTTCTTTTTGCTTATATGGTGCTGAGGAATCGAACCCAGGGCCTCAGGCATGCAAGGCAAGCGCTCTACCACTGAGCCACCTTCCCAGCCCCCCTTATTTTATACATATGTATCATATATTATGTATTTATTATATACTTATATATTATATATAACATGTATATAATATATATATGGGTACATCGTGTTTCTTTTCTATCTCCAGATGATCTTTTGGTAATTTATTAGCTAAAATACTTCAGAAGGGTTGTGATTATTTTATTATCAAAACTCTTTTTTCAGAATATATG